TGTTCTTCCACATCCTGAAACGGTTTATGTGAGGATTGGAGGATTTGATTTGATTAGATGAGAGCGAGGAGTGATGCCCGCAACAAGCTAGTAAAGATGAGTTGTGCTATATTAAAAATGAGAAACTGTCTGATCAGCTACTCGGTGGCCGTGTGGGTAGTGTGCTTGCATCCTACCTATGAGGTCCCGGGTTCGATCCCCGGTTGGGTCGATGGATTCGCACTGCTCGGATGAGACCCAACCAGGTCGAAACAGCTGGCCAGCAGTGCTTTCCAGCTTTTCAGCTCATGCCTCATTTACACGATAAATTGATCATATGATACGGTTTATTAGACAGTGGTTTACTAGACGTGACCAAAGTTCAAAGAAAGCAGCATTCTAGAGCCAGTATCGAAAGGCGCACGTTCATGTGGACCTGGCACTTAGGATCGTTATCTATAAGTAATGAGGGATCTGATTCACTTGTGTGATGGATTTCGTCGTGTCTATGAAGCAAACAAATTGAATGAACTGAAAATCTAGGAAACACTACTGTACAACTGTCTCGATTCGGTTTGGCATCACTGGTTGTGCAAATCCAGCGCACCAACCAACTGACCCGAGACCTCATGTCACATCTCGATGCCCCCTGCGATAAGTCTATCGACAGGACACCCCTTGGTGATGAAAAACATGAACTGCTTCACGTAATCATGAAAGCTGTGTCAAATCACCGAGCACGCTCTAAATTTCAACTCATCGTCTTTGTATCATGTGCACTCTAGGTTGATCATACCATTATCGCCTAAACCGAGGAAAGACGCTCACATTCGCGTCCCCCCCCCCCTACACGCACACACACACACGGAAAATGTTGACTTTATGTATTCCACTTTCTTGTTTAACTTCTAAATCGATATATGTATCCATTATGTAATTTCGTGAATTTTTTTCTTAGAATTCACCGTTTGGGTGCATTAAGCATTTATTGAGTTCAGTTAAGTTGACGACAAGTATAAACGATGTTGTGTGCGGGCCAGCAAGAGGCATGGAACAGTTGTATGACTTTGTTGCAACACATCGGCCATACGTGTCGGGATTTGAATGTGCACCCATGGATTGAGGCCGACACAAGAACGACGATACATCAACCAAAACTGGAACATCCTCTAAATCCATATAATCATTTGGAGTTCATTCAAACCCCAGTACGCTCTACCGATGAGTCTGAACAAGAAGGAAACGACTGTCGATTACTCTTTGCTGCCTGTCAGATCACCATGTTTATAACTGTACTGGAGTGTGCGGTGATCCTAGTTTACGGGGGCAACACGTTACAGTTTCCGGACATTTGTGATGAGTCAAGCTTCCCAGATGACGCCAGCAAAGCTCCTACGAGTTACAGCCTCTGGACAACGAACCATAGGCCGATTGTGCCGACAAATCGGAATCCGTGCGACCCAGACAGAAGCTGTACGGCTCTAAGAATACGAGCACGCGACTGGTAGATACCTGGAAAACCAATGAAGTTCTTTTATATATGTTATTTAACCCCTTTGATTTCTTCCAATAAACGAACTGCTACTTCTCTGCTCTTTTCCTTGCGTCTCGGTTACGTGGGATACTGTGGTGCTAGTACCAGTGTGATTCAGTGCTTCCCTAGTGTCCGCGATTCCTAATACGTGATTCGTAATCCGTGGTCTGTGCGTACTCTAACCATTATATTCACTCTTTCCGGTTGCTCCCGAATGCATTCCATTTTAAACGGTGCACAAGCGGTATAACCCAAAGACCGCTTGATTACCGGTGAATGTATTTTTTTCTTCATGTTCCACGAGATTGGTTATCTGTTCTTTTTGCCTGGAAAATCAAGAACTTCCGAGATTGTACTGCTGGTGAGGCCAGTTGTCGTAATCAAAAATGCTAGTGAGCTGTAATTTGAATTCATCGAATCCGGTGACTTGAAAAAACTGAAGATTTGGTTGTCGATCTGTGTGAGAATGGATGTGGTAGCACAAGTCGTCATTGAAATCCAGGTGGTTACCCCTTTTGTTCTGTCCTCGTAACGGTTCTACAAGCTCATAGAAAGTGAACCGCTCGATAGACTTCAGTGAAATTCGAAGAATTGTCCGGAAAGTCAAGCAATTTTCAAAAATTTATATGACAAGCAGAGAGGTTGTTTAGCTTTAATTCTAATCTTGGCCCACTTAGGGTACCTTGTTTCGTTTGAGTGCTAAGTAAAGGTCTGGACAATTAACTGAACAGCATTAAATAGAGGTCGGGTAAATGCCTTGTTGCACACTGCACTCAAAAATATCACCTAGAACCGTACACACGATGATAAAACTGCACCCAGATGCAACCAAACGACCTGATTTGGAGCCGTTTGGTTATGTTATAATTCCTCAAGACCAGCGCCGGACTGGAGACTTTGATTGATTAGAAGAAAAAGAAGAACATTGATAGGGGTAGACAGGATTGCACAGAACGAAATATGTAATCTGCAACAGTTGGTCCGTGGTTTCATGAAACGGTCTTGCTCATCAGTCAAACAGTTCAGCCTTCTTTTTGCCTCTTTTTTAATTACAATAGTACATCGTTTAATCCGTTCCCAGATACCTGGGGAAGCGACCAACCACTTATTCATGCACGCATCGATATACTACTCGTAAATATGAGTGGAATCTTACAGCAGTTGTTTCGATCTAGTAGCATTCTTTCACCTCATGTCATGAATTATTATTATAGTAAATCCCGCACAAAACCATCCTTATGGCAGGTCAAGATTGCAATACTGACCATCCTTCGTGAATACTGAATGATTGTAGATGAAAGAAGTCTCTACCTAGCGTGACCCGTTGACTTATTGACATTACACGCTCCTTCATTGAACAACGACAACAACGACGAAGACAAAAATAGCTCCCCTTTCTCGCTCAACAGGTCAACGATACCTGCTCGTGTTTTTTAACCACTGGACAACGATGAAGTAAAATTGTAATTCATATTGGTATGCGCTGATATAACTGTACAATAAATTTGTTGGAGGTTTCACTCAGGCACCAAATGTGCCTGAGAAAGAGAATCTGGTTGAGTGACTGGGCGGCTGTGCTGGCTGGCTGGCTGGTGAAAGTCATCAGTTCAGTAAGAGGAAGTAAATTACACGTAAGTGAGAAAAAAATTGGGCAACCTCATGATGAAGATGATGATGTGATATGGGAACCAGATGTGATGTGTGCTCCCGCCAAACATTGGTCTGACAGGGCTGACCACAGTGTGGAAATTGTCGGGGCGTGAAGCAACATACCGGATCCGTCTTTATCTGTACAAGATGGAACGGCGGATTGTGTAGAGTGTAGTTGAGCAGCTAGCGACTGAACAGCTACAGACCAATCTGTCTGGGTGGTAAAATCCAACGGGGCGGAGAAAATTCTTTGTGAAGGGAAGGGATTGGACAGGATGATATCCATTGGATTCGTTTCGCCTTGACACACTTGACTGGCCATAGTGACCACGTTTCGTGCACGTTCATGTTTTCGGTGTTTCGCCCGTCGGTTCTGGAACCATACCTGATGGAATGGGAGCAGTGAGTGGGGTGGGACGGAATGAGGAGTACAGGTGAATGTGAGTTCATTTTATTTTATTTCTACGATTACCTTCATCAAACAACGAGTGCGATTATTTTGACAAAGCGACTGCTGAATTTGTCGTCGTTAGTCCTGCGGGGGGAAAATCTCTTGATTAACCTCAAAATCTCGAGAAAGCTAGCATTACGTAATACGATTCAACGGAACCTCTTTACGGCTATTACAACATTTAGTTCGCCAAGTGTTCCAACATGGTCATCGGCGGCGAAAAAACATTTACGCCTCGTAGATCGGAACCCCGAGCAGTTAATCTGACGAGCTATCCCCGAGCTCCATATCATCATCTATCGCTGTCGCCAGCGATGCTGACAGACAGTGATCAAATTCCTAATGCGTGGCTTCCCCCGATAGGTCTAATGTAATTGAACAGGAAACTGGGGTGTCAAAATGATATTGTGTTATTGTTGTAACAACTTATGTCTCAGATTTTGTTAAAAATCTGGACCGATGAATTCCAGCAATATATATGATAAATAAAATCAGGTTTTCAATGGTAGTCAGTGAAAAACTTGTTCTTTGTTTGGCAAGATCCTAGTCCAATTTTAATTAAATACTCTTATAATATGATAAGCATTCGGAAATCTGACCTGATGATGTAATGAGAAAACCAGATTGATAGGTCAGATTGGGGGCACGGAATCTCGTTTGTACACGCCTAACAACAAACAATACTCAATTGTGTGTCCGATTATTCCTTGGATTAAAAGAAATAGAACGAAACAAAATGAGCAGAACGCGGAGAAAAGTACCGGAACACGTTTTTACTAGGTCAAGAGAATTCTCGGGAGAACGGTAAGTAAATACACTGTTGGCTTTAGAATATCAAGCTTGGATTAGCTCATTCGATTGTTCAGAGGCACCAGGCACTGCTGGTGGTCTTCGGTGTGGGTTTCACTCAATGGAAGATGGTTAATTCCCCACGAGGTAGATGTGATGACGCACTGTTGACGAGTCCCCCCAAAAACAGGACGAGACAGCTGTCCAGTGCTCTTTGTCGGTTATCACAAACAGTTTCATCTTATCTAAACTCTTGACTGTTTATAATCCCGTTTATCGCCTTGTGAATTCGGCAAGACAAATAACAAATCACGGTATACAGATTGTCTGTTGTAATTTAGTTACGATTATTTGATTGATAATTGTCCATATGCATGAGTACGCGAATCGCGAAAGATGAAAGGGCATTTGAAAAAAAGAAACCTGATTCATTGCCTCGCCACTAGGGCGCGAAGAATATGTACGGACGATATCATTGATGCAGAACTGAGGTTTGTTCGAGATGTTTTCCTTCAAAACGGATACCTCGTGCGATTTGTGGACAACATTCTGGGTGGTCATCGGTTGCCAAATACGACCATTACTGCGGAGAAGAAACCGGTTTACATATCGCTACCTTTCAAGGGCGACACGACTGCCGAAATGGTGACACGTAAGGTCTGTACAGTTGTAGAAAAAACATTCCCCGCGGATAAACTGCGTATTGTGTTCATCTCCAGGCCACTTCTGCGCTTTCAACTCAAATATAAATTGTCTGTTTCTGCTGTCTCCTTCTGTGTATACTTATTTACCTGTTCCTGTGGGGCAAGTTACATTGGCCGCACGAGCAGACGTTTATCTGAGCGAGCCCGTGAGCATCATCCGGCCTGGTTGAACAGTGGAGTAATTAGTACCATTAACAGCTCAATCGTTTCACACCTGGTGGAATCAAACCACGTAATTAATGTGGCCGAGGCGTTTCAACCCCTCTACTTGGTTCGCACCAGAGGATTAGGAGTTGCATTTTGGCCATAGCGGAAGCGATCGGAATCCACCTACATAATCCCCCCTATGCTCTCAAAAACAATTCGTAAGAACACTCGGTCTTCCATGGTCAACACCACACACGACACAACCATCTCCCCACCCGCCAGCCCCTAATGACTCAAACAAGTGCGCATGTGTGAGGACCAAAGTGTGAGTGACATCCGGTCATGTAACTGGAATGGTAATTATCTCTTTCCAACTTGTCTTGCTCTCCCCCCCCCTGCCGAATTGTTTGATATAAATTGTGATGTATTGGCCCGTAGAAGAATCACCGCAAACGAGCTTGTTCGCTACTTTGTGTTTTCTCACAATGGGCATTGAAAGCATTCGCAAGCGTTTAAATACCGACCCAATTAATCATTAAATACAAACTGCTTTGTCATTAGTACCCGTTGTTTTGAACAGGGAGCCTCGCTCACCACACACTGAGTGCCGACTTATTGCTCGGCACGGATACTTGATTTTTTCTCAAGTAAAATGATTATTCGATTGACGCGATCACTGTTACTCAGTCACGTGACCTGACTGGGGTGGGGTGGGGTGGGGGACAAAAACGTTATCCAGGCCCCTATGATCTGTGATATCACACCTGTCGGAACTCAACGTTATGTTCATAGTGGAAGTCAACGCTGAGACTGTACACAAAAAATGTGTGCAGAACGGTCCTCCGCTTGCCCTCATTATTGGAGGTCAGATCACGGAAATCAGGTGATTTGATCTTGACTAATGCCCACAACATACCCAACTAAGAACAACCCGTTGGCATTCCACCTGCGTGACTATCACGCCACATAGAGCAAGTAACTTGGTTAAATGAGTCATCTTGTGTGTAAGCCGTGCAATTTTGCGTACTGTGCATACTGCGCATGTGTGTGTGTGTGTGCCTTTATTGACTCAACAGAAAGAAGCGCATGATCGGAACTAACATGAAGTCAGTAATTTGAAAATTCCTCGTGGGAAAATTGTATTCCTTTATAAAAGAACGGATTAGTCAGATCGCACTGCGGCGTGTGGTGGTGGTACGGGGATGACTTTTGAGGTCACTCGCACTGACACTGTGTGTGTGTTTGAAAGGCAGAACTTAGACGTTCGTATTCAAACTACCACAAATAATCTGGGTTGGTCGGTCCATCCAATCGGGTGGAATTTGAAATAAGTGATTTCTATTCATGCATCAAAGTTTTGAGAAAGAAAACTGACTGATATATCGATCGTGTTTCAAATTTTCCGGATGATATCCGTTTCAGCTGTGGCTAAAACACTGATGAATGAAAATGGCCGCGTGCTGTCTTTGGACAATGTGTTGTATTCACGCACATCGTTGGACCAGACACGTTCCACGCTGCCTGTGTTTCAAGCTGAGGATGGCGAAAGGAAATTGTGGGCCACTTGAATTATATAGGTGAATTCAATGATGTTAATTAACACTTGGATTGCATCAGCGACAATCGTTTCATTGACGATGTTGGTGCAAAGTGAACATGGCAACTGAGTTTGGTCGAGACCTCGGGGGTGGATGTGGATTTCTAATATACATGAGAGCAGTTCCGAAAGTTTCGATGATGCTGATGTTGTTGATGATGATGATGATGATGATGAGTGGACAGAACGATGAGCTGACGACCTAATTTGCGCTTACATCCCCGGGGGTGTTGTCGCCAGTTGCCGAGTAGCTAAGCTCCAGATGACCTCAGTCAAATGATGCAGTGACTAAGCTGGTAAGTACCACTTGATGATGACGTAGGTCATCCCGCCCGAAATGGTTAAGTCGGGCATAGATTTGTGTGTGTATATGCGCACGCTTGTGGGCGAGTGGGTGGGTAGTCCACTGTTTTGATGAGCAAATGAGTCTATGACGTAGTAATTTAACAACATGGCAACCTCCAGCCTGAGATACTGGAGTGTTAGAGGGATGTAATTAAGATACCTCCGGCGCGTACGCACGCACATACGAACATATGAAATTAGAGTTAACAAATATTTAATTAGAATACATGCATACATACATGCACACCAGTTTAAAGGTGTGTATGTATATGTCATGATCGGAGCTGACTACATATACTACCATTTATGTGTTTTGATGCGTTGCACAAACAAGAAGGATAGGGAGAGAGAGAAAAAAACGAAAAATGAACATGATAACAACCGTTTTTTTGTGTCCGCAAATCACGCTTTCTGTACAGTCAATGATTTAACAAATTAACGCTAACTTCACCGTCTGTTGAAGTTGTTCATATTTATTTCGTCACAGTTGCAAACACCCGCGCGAGCGCGCGTAAGTCGAACAGAATGATGGAGATGGCCCAGTTCAGCTAATAAGCTGAACTGATTTGCTCATAGCATGATGCCTTCCACAGAGAGATGACGTACCAGGCGAAGGCTGCCACGGCCCCGGACCTAGCCCCAAATCGTCTGCGACAGCTTACTGAGTAAATCAAAGTCCACTTATTCCCTGTTAAATGCCTAAATGGCTTTACTCCTATCCGTAACCCGGAAACTCGCTCAATGATGTACAGCCCCTCCTCTTACCGAAAACTCCGCTGCCGAACGGAGCATACATAAAATAACTAGATTTTAGTGTATCAATAAATTCCGTGCTATGATTCAGCCGAATCGCTTGGAAATTTGAATTGGTAAACGAAGGTGATTCGCTCCTCGAACAGAGCATACAAAAGAATGACTATTTACCCGATGAGCGTAAATAATTTAGCAACTAACTGAAAATTTATAAATCAACTAAATTAGATCGTTTTTAACCAACCAATGAACTTCGCTTTGAGAGTAATTCATGTTGGTAGTCGGATCTCGGCGGGACCTCCAGGGGCGTGCCAGAAACTTTCTACCAGAATACTACTTGACCCATCTAACCCACTGTACGCTCCCATTAGTCAATGTATCTCCGCATTTCGCACTCGCTCCAAGTATAAGCACATAGCAGCATGCACCACAACATACAAGTCTTCTGCAATACCGTACTTCGCACAGTTTCTTACTAACTCCGATCTTGAACAAAATATTTGCTAGATTTCTCATATTCGTTTGTGTATGTAGCTTATCATCATTCTTCTTTTTACCATGCGATTTCCTCAGAAGAGTGATTATGTTGTAGCTGAATGTTCATCCCCTATGGGGCGAAATAAAGCCACTTCTGGACTTGATTGATTTGACTTGAAATGTTACTCTCCACCCCTTCCCCCCGCCTTTCTCACTAAAACTATTTAAAAATGACGGGCCTTAGAAATACTGCTCACCTGAACTCTTCCATCCGAAAGATTTAATCGACTGGCCAATTGATCACGTGCTGCCACATCCGGGTATTGATTGAATAGGAACGCAGTCTCTAAAGCATGCAGCTGATATGTGGTGAATGTGGTACGCAATCGTCTCGGACGTCCGGTATAGGAGGATCGAATACGGGATCGGGAAGCGGAATTCAGATCCCCGGATCCCGAACGAACGGAAATGAGACATGTGGATGAGGAGGATTGGGTCGGGTCTCGTGGGGATTGTGATGGCGAAAGACTGGAACACGGCTGGACCGGATCGGTTGTGCGATCTATTTTTGTGCAAGTCAATGCCATTGGAGTGTCGGAGAGTTGATCGTCAGGAGTTGTTGACGAATGGAACGGATTGGACAACGAGGAAAGTGTTCGCGGGCCGGTACCCGTGCCGTGATCGTAACGCTCGCGAGGAGAGTGAAGAAACAGACCGTGGTCACTTCGATCGCGGAACTCATCAGACCCAGATTCACGAGCATTGCATGAGGATGGACTGACCGAGGCAAACGAATCGGGAAGCTGATCTGTGTCCTCGGTATGGTGAATAACTGACGTGAGAAAGGAAGGGTGAATAAGAGAGTAGGTGAACACAATGTCTATAGTGCATAATATAACAAGACACATGAAACAGTTACTGCGTTCACGTCGACCTCCAAGTACGAACAAATGATGATTCCCCGAAGAGCGTCATGTTTTCTTGTGAAATCAAATCTAATTAGCTGCTAGAAAATGTACCAAACTAATCATTCATCATTCACTTTGATCAAAGTTGGAAAGCCCCATTGTACGCGTCTGTTGTATACGCAATATTCAACCGTGACTTACCCTCGAGTCACGTTGATGATAAATGTTCAATGCCAAGCTATCTGACACCAGTTTGACATAGCACTATTCTCCGACAGTTTCTCTCAAGTTCAAGTATTTCCAGAGTAGTATGATCTTGCTTCTAACGGCTTCGAATGCAGTGTTAGACGCTTACAACCTAAACTCTAGGTCAACATCACAGTACCCGTAAATAGGGCACACACACATAACCTGATACGTAGCGGCCATCATCGAGACCAATCTACGATGCATACCGGTTTTGGTTCCACCGTGATAGCCCACCGCGGTTCGGCACCGAGTAGCTGTGTTTCCCCCATTCTCCTAGCCATTCTGATCACAAGACTTTGTGATCTCCATACATCCTCGTGTAAGTATATGGCGTGTGAGGATCTTAACGACTCTCGGTTGGTTCCGTCAATGCGGTCGTCCACTGAAGCAAATGGTCGACCTTCATAGATTACGTTGGTTGGGGCATGTGTTACGCAT